CCACTGAAAAGAGTCTGGCCCCATCCTCTTGACACCTGCCCTTTAGATATTGATAAACATTGATAAGATCCCCTCTCAAAAAGTTGATAAAGTATAATCTTAAGAAGAAAAATAAATCTGTACTAGAATACTTTTTTCCCAGTAAGAGCCAGAAGCAGCTGGAAAGGTAGAAGCCTGGCTGCAACCCAGAGCTGTTGGTTGCTTAAATGCAGTTTCAGCTGTTTAGAGCCAGCTACCTAGAATATATTGAGGGAAGAATAAGTTTAGATCCTTCCCTAGGCACAGGGATGAACATGCTCCTGTCCACTCATGACTTTCCTTGCTTTGTTTGAAAGAATGGAACCAGTCTCATTGTTTGCTATTAAAATAATGATACTATCTGGCCTTGTGGACTTCAGACCATTTTCTGTTGGAAATTGTTACTGTGCTTTACTCTTACAGTCTCTGAAATTAAGAACATTAATTTGGCTTACTGTAAAGTTGGTTATTTTGTGAGTCTGTCTCTTCTGTGTATGCACTCTGTTCTGAACATCAGTCTACACTATATGATTGTTATTATTTTCTTGATTTGTACCAACAGTGAAGCGTACTCGAGCAGTTTAGATGGAACAGTGATTGCTTGGAACATCAGCACTCTGAAAGTTAACCGTGTCTCTCAGCTGCCCTGCCAAAATCTCACTTCTATCAAGCTTCATAATGACCAGCTGTGGTGCTGTAAGTTCATTCCTCAAATAATAATAATAAAAAAATTACATCTTCACATAATAGGCTGGTTTATTAGACAGAACAATGCATTAGTCTCAAACTCAGACTTAAGGGTACATGTTGGTTTTCCCCCATTCTCCACTTAGTCTCTTTAAACAACCTTCTGTAGGTGAGGTCTCCAGAACACTTCTGTTAGATATCTAGCTTGGATTGTTCCTGGAGGTATTGTCTCTGCTGCAGGATGTGACTTCTGGCTACTCTGTATTTGTCTGACCTCCCATGGTGATACCTGTAAATTGGAATGGAAAACTTTGAGAGAGTCCTTTTAAAGTTTAGAGGGGCAACAGCGGTTGCAGGTTGCGTTTGATATTTCAGCCAGACTTTAGGGTATTGTTCTGACTTGATAATCCCCAGACCTGCATTTTAACTGCTTCTAGAAATGTCATCCCCATGTAAGAGTTGAGATGAATAAAGTAAAAGTTTTGTGCCAGTGTAAAAGATCATCTTGAAGTTATTTCATAAATGGTGACTGATTCTCAGTGCTGCCATACACCAGAGCCTGGGATCTGTATATATCACACCTAACCAAACAGCAGCTAGAGCCTTGGGAAGTTCCTGGTTCTGCTGTGGGCAGTAGTGATGCTGCCTTTGCTGTGCTGAGTAGGTATTCAGCCCTGTTAACTTCGTAGCACAGACACTTGGTCTCAGTTCTGTATGTGAAAATAAATGTGTACTTAAGAACCTAAGTATGAGATGTCCTAACTCTAAGGAGTTTGTCTCCTCTCCCTCT